GAAGAGCTTGAAGTATAGGAGCAACTGTGGCCTCGGTCTCTCTGTGGACTGCAGTGAGTGCTTCACGTATTGTTGGCATTTGAACAAGACTTTTGCTATACTACACCACACAGGATCTGGTATCATGCCTCAGCATGCAGAACAAGGAGGTCTCAGTGGGTTTTCGGTTCAGGCATGCATCTCTATCTCTCAAGTTGTCAAGCAGCAGCTTGGATGTGGCTGCTGGTGTGGAAGAGTATGACCATCTAGATGGTCATATGTATGATGTAGTTGTGGTATACAGCTAAAGGTGCAGTCAATGGAGGGGGTTCCAGACATCCAACAGGGCCAGAAACATGTGCCACCCATCTTCTTACAGGCAGGCAGCTGGCAGAGGTTAAGGCCTGACTTCTGCTCCCGGAGTGTCCAGGTTCAAATCTGCCTGCCAACCTCTCTAGTGTGTGAGAGGTGTTGAATTGGGAGGTGGCCTCCCATCTTATGGATGGTGTAGGACATGATAGCATCAGCTTGCGAGCTGACCAGAAACTAAGTTGAGGCACCATTGATCAAATACCTTCTGAATACCTTCTGAAGTCAGATGGGGTGAACGGATCAGGGTGCCCCTCAAGCAGGGGAGAGCAGGGAACTGCCTCAGGAAAGGGGGCCGCTGGTGAAGCTATACCACCCTGTAATAACATACATCCTGGGTATGAGGCTCTAAACAGCCTAGACAAGTATGAAAGCTTCCCAGACTTCTCAGGCACTAACATACAAGCTGCCATACTATGCTGACTTCAGAATCGAACTTCATATTACCACTGTGTTTTAGACCGACGACCATGTAGAACTTGCTAATTTCTTCAATTTCATGCAGGTACAGCTGCCTGGGTTTATCCCCCTGGTAACTGTAACACAGCAAAGGCGTAACCCGGGATGCTCAGATTGGCATTTGCGTCGTTACATTGCCCCCCACTTAGCAATGGACGTCCTCGGCCATTATTTCGAGCACAGGAGCCATCCCACCTCGCGCCAGTGCGCTGGTTTATCCATTACACCATGAAATCGCCAATTTGCGACTTGCTGGTTGCCAGAATCGAACCGCCGACCCGAAGTTTATTTCGGTATTCGTGCGGTCCCGTCTCGATACCATTGTAACACAGCAAAGGCGTAACCCGGGATGCTCAGATTGGCATTTGCGTCGTTACAGTAACACATTACCACCCTCTCCTATCCAAATCCAGAGTAATTATTATGCAGACATATAGCATCACCCAAAGAGAGGCAGCACCTGTATGTGTCGGAACTAATTTCCAGGGTTTTCCTTAAGTTATCCCTATATCGCGAGCTGTCACAGAGGCCACTCCAGTTCCATTGGGCCAATCTTGTACTTAGGTTTTGGAACTCTGTGGTTAAGAGGCCGGGAACGCTGTGTCACCAGGCATTTGTTGCTGACCTGGAGTTGGCACTTGGGGGCGTCACTGAGTGTTGGGCAAGCAAGGTACTAGCCTTTCTTACTAGCTTAGGAGTGGAACCCCCCACTAATACGCACGGTAATGATCTTATATCGTACTACACCACCCTTAAATTGCCAGTTGAGAGCATTCTTAAGGTATTTGCCAAGCGGCTTGATGCACGGTGGGAGTGCCCAAATACCTTGGGTGACCCCCGCGCCTTCCCCATAGGAGTTACCAGAGCCAAGGCGTGTCGCTATATGAACTGGATGGGAGCTGCCCTGTCAAGGGGTGCACGTCTCAATTGGTTGGAGCACACTAAAGGGACCATGCCCCAGCGACTTCATCATGTGCTCATGCGTTTTCGGTTAGGCTGTTGGGAGTTAGAGGTTAATAGGCCTAATGGGCGTGAGCGCACCGTGCATACCTGCAGGCTTTGTGACTGTGGAACGGTTGAAGATGAGTTGCATGTTTTCGAAGAATGTCCCGATGGTGACCTAGTCCTTACGGGGCGCAGCACGCGCACCACTATGACTGAGGCGCCACCCCTGGCATTGGCCAGGTACCTCTCGGAAATTTGGGAGGCCAGGCACGTCGCGCTGAGGCGCTTCGCCCTGAAGCGGACGAGGGAGAATGAAGATGACCTCCCGCGTACCCGCATCAATACCAATACAACGTCCATGGCCCCCCCGGCTTTTACGGATGCACCCGCACTTGTGTGCGGAACTTGTAACTTGTAACTTGTATTATAAAGGAATCAGCCCAGAGGCACAACACTGCGAAGTCTGATAGTGCTTCACTACATATTCTAAGGAAATAAGGACACAAGCATTCAGCTCCAAGAAGTAATGCATAAATGAGGTCGAACTCACCAAAGCCGGCACCCAGTGGCGGGACAGCAGCCGATGCAGCTGCGTATCAAAAAATACGAGGGTGCAATACGCAGGTAGGTAAATGCATCCACAGGGCTTGCATTATTCTTTTATTCCTTACTGTAACTGCTTGCAAATGGCGGCTAGACGTTGACAATCTTGCGACCTTCACCTCCGACGCCTGCCTATACCGGCCAAAGAATATCAATGTTGTCCAAGCCGCCTACACCGTTCGGATTGCACGTCCGTCTGCCGTCGCGCTTCCGGGGATTGCTGCCTACATGGCTGGCGTGACGCTCAGCTCGCCAGCGACAATCATATCATGCATTATGCTTGACCATCATATCGAATCCTGTCATCGCATCGCACCATGAGATTTTGCTTTGGCACCATGTCTTGGTTTCGGAGACCATTCCGAAACACCACGACCGCTAACGTCTCCTCTAAGTTAACTCTAGTAGAAATAACGGGTCGCTAATTGGAAACACTCTATTACCTAGATTGTTTTACCCAGCTTCCGCGCATTGCACTTAAAGTCCCAGAAAGTTTCTGGGACCGGTACTTGTTGCAAATGGTCCGCAGGAAACACTTTCGTGTGGCTTCCAGAGATGCAATGCATCCTCCGGTTCCCGAAGCTGATCCGCACCGATATTCGGGTTTCATCTGCTTCACCATCGAATCATTTTCTATGCGCATCTAACATACTCGTTTCGAAGGATGTCAGCTCCGCCATGCCATTTCTGATGGGGGCGGTCTTGGGAGCGGTGGCAGCGGCGGCGATGGAACAATGAACAAAACAGCGCCGGGCCATGTATCCTCAAGGCGGTCAAGGGTGGTGAGTGCACGTGAGCGCTGTGCGGGCAAATATGGATCGTGGTTGTGGCGGGCCGATACATAATACACATCGCTTTCTCTTAACCAACTCCCAACCTTGTTAGCCCGTTCTCATAACTCGCTGGTGCGTTTGACGCGGGCATGCAGGCTCCCGCCGGGTAAGCAATGCGAATGCATACGTGCGATTGCATTTTACTTGGATGTGCAGTCTGTCGGTGGTGAGGTCGAGGCAATATGATTTTCATATAGTGGAGAACCTCATGATGGCCTTTCAGGAAGCAGCCATCAACGATGTCAGGCGTCAACGAACCAACTAACCAACAACTACCCACCCCATCAATTAAAGTTGTCATCTGCGATGTCAAGGATATGGCCTTTGGCTTATGTAGTTTAGTAAAACTTCACAACTGAGCATGTATCATGACCAGAAAGGAAGGACTGGCCCCCTAACCACCAGTTGTGTTTGCCGCCACCCTGCTTACAACCCTGTTCAACACATACATCCTGTGGCACCGAATTCAGGGTTCGGCAGTCACCACCAATCCAGCGTGCGACTCTGGTCCATCAACTGTGAACTCAACTCCACATCTCAGCAGCTAGCCATAATCTCGCGTTCCCGACTAATTTGGGGGTCTCCCCGGGAATCGAAACCAGGACCTTAAACCGCTAACTACAGTAGTGTCAACCCAGACCAGACCTCATGTAATAAGACGGTGACATTGCGTGCTTCACTCTGGCCAGGACGTTGCACAGCCTGGGTGCCACTGTATGTTCTGTTTTGTTTAGGATCTTCTCCTTGTGAACCCAACTCCCTGGCAGGGCAGGCTGGGTGCACTGCACCTGAGGAAGCCCGGGCCCGGGCCTATCCCTCTGTAATAGACGGTGTGGTGCTCCCATAAGACTAACCAAATAACACAGGTGATGGTCGTTGAGGTCCCCGAATCCTCCTTGGGGGGGAATCCTGCACTACTGGGGATGACGAAGGTGTCCCGCAATCCCCTCACCATTCCTATGCGTGGGTAGTAGCAGGCCGGTTGAGTTCTCGAGTGTAAAAACGTGTGCTGTCTATGACGATTAGAGGGGGAGTCTTCCACGTGAATGAGTAGTACTTCACTTTATAATATTCTTAAGTACGAATCAGCATTACATATCACTAAGTAACATTACATATCACTAAGTGTGTTTTGCTCGGTATGATCCCTAACCCTATACTGTCCTACTTAGGACAGATTGTGCTGGTTCAGGACTAGCACCGTCAATCATCCACACATACAGTCTAGTATCAGGTATTTTTAGTGAACACCGTCTCTCTCTAACGCTCAGGAGGAGGATATAGTGTAAAATCTAATTATTACTGTCTGTTAGTTACCTGCAGCAGACTTCAAGGCCGTTTGCATTTGGATTGCCTTTTCCTGCACGTGTAATACTGGGTGTGCCGCCTTGTGGACTGCCATGCACGGCAAGCCTGCAAAGGGCTCGGGCAGGGCCCAAAGAGGGCCCACCCTTGGGACACTGACACACTGCTGGAACCACCGTGTCAAATGGCGAGAACGGGCTCAGGGGCTAAGTTTCCGTTTGCCTTTATTTGCGTTTTAGTCTGTACGGATATCCTCAACGGCAAGAACACATGCATGCAGGCCCTATTCTCCCATATTGCACCGTTCCTGGCTGTTGTATCACGTCTTGTCGCAGGAAAAGAACCGATCGGCGGATGTCAATCCCGTGATACCCAGGATACTACACTGGCTCTCGAAATATAGTACATGTTTCAAATGTACTACATCCACACATTCAGGTGCACCATCAATTCTCTCCAGAAAACGTACAGCTTCAACAAGGAATCCTAGCACTTGTTGACGGGATGTTACACTGATGTGGGTGGCTTGCCCTGAGAAAGGACAAGCACCGGGCCCTGACCAGGCCGAAGTACAGTGCAGGGGCAGGTGTGATGGCTATGTCTTCTTCCACGCACACCTCACTGCCCCATTTACGCCGACCGGAATGCAGCCCCTGGCTAGGCAACTCTGCGACACAAAAGACTGCAAACCATGCTAAGCAAAAGCTGCACGAGATGCACTCCACACCTTAAAAATTTCTAACCACACTGCTACCTCTCACAACTTTACCTGGCCAACCTACTCACTCACTCTCACGACTGCTATTAAAAAGAAAACGCCACCAGGGGCATAGCTGGCGCACCTGGTGGTGAGCTTGCCCTTGATTGCCTGTTGGGGCAACACTTGGCAACCCCAAGGGTTGCAGCAATTCGCAACTGCAACACAACATGGCAACAGGAAAGGGCTCCAGGCTCTGAATGTCTTCTACAGCCGCCCACCTCCCTCTTAACCATGACCAATACCCTGTCCAAGGACCACATCACCCACGCACTGGTAAGCGCGCTGGCAAAGGAAAACATTTCCTCATATTCTCTCACCCCCTCACCGCTTCCCTCTGGCTACCGGCTTGGCACTAATGAAATGCAACACAGCAGCAGAAGCGGCACACTGACACAAAACGATAGATCATGGCACCCATCGCCACTACAGCATGCATAACTGGCTCGTACAACATACCCTTGAGCCCTCCATCGCTTATTTTCAGTAGCAATATCAACTGCTGCTCCTCGTTTTCTAATGCTCGTTTGACAAACTTGTCAGCCACCCATTTGGTAGCGAACATGAGGCGCTTATTCTGGAACTTGTCGTCAGCCACAATATGAACCAGGTGATGGCTGGCCTCAGACCCCCTGCCGACAGCACCAATGGCCGTTCGCACCTGATAGGAGAGCGACCAGAGAGGCAGGCTGAGCCGCAGGTGTGTTACATCTGAATGTTCAGGCAGGGTGCAACCCTTGGAGCTCGCCATGAAACACGAGGTGTTGATGTTGATGTTGTTACAGGGTGGTTAAGCTTCACCAGTGGCCTCCTTCCCGAGGCAGTTCCCTTCTCTCCCCTGCTAGAGGGGCACCCTAATCCACTCACCCCATCCGACTTCAGAATGTACTTTTTGAGTTTGGCAACTCACCACCGGCATCCAACCAAATCTAGCGGATCAACGGCGCGTCAACTTAGTTCCTGGTCAGCTCGCAAGTTAAATTTATCATGTCCTACACCGTCCACAAGATGGGGGGCCACCTCCCATTTCATCACCTCTCAATCACCCCGAGAGGTCGGCAGGCGGATTTGAATCCGGACGCGTCGGGAGCAGAAGCCAGGCCTTAACCTCTGCCACTCGCCTGGTGTTGGTGGCAATATGGGCAAGGAGGACATAGGAGCTCAGCAGCTAAGTGAATCTGAGTAAATCTCTGCTGGATCGAAGGAAGAACAGCAACATTAAAAACTCGGGTAGTGTCGGTGAAATCTGGGCAGCCAACTGAAACAGCACCAAATTCAGGGTAGAGGACTAGCTACACTACATGCCTCACCTGTTCAACGTTGCAAGTATGAATCGCACTGAGCAGCGGCCTCAGCAACGCAAGCACCTCCCGGTCGGGGTGCAGCGACGGATGCTGCAGCACGTACCGTGCCACACCGCCATAGTAGTCAAAGAGGTCCTTCACGCTGGCCTCCGGAACTCTATCGTACATCTTGCTGCGGGCATTTTGTGTGGTGGGGAAAGCGAGTGGCTGTTTTGGCCGTTTGCACACAGGACAATTTGCAAAAAGTGCGGTTTTGATAGGGTTTGGGCATGAACAACATCATAGTCAAGGTTTACTAATTGATAAAGGAAAGAGTGCGATCACGGTCAGAGGGTTGCAAAGATTGGGGATTGGGGGCAGGTACTGGTCAGGCGGGATGGGGAATAGGGTGACACCGTCAGGATGGGATGTAGGGGCCAAGGTGAGGATTAGGGATTAGGCGTGCAACACTACCTTAGGATGGGGATTGCTGTCGGGGTGAGGATGGGAACGGGAACCCTGTCAGAGGGATGGGGATTGAAACCTTGACCAAGGATGGGGTTGGGAACCCTGGCCAAGGATAGGGATGGGATCCTGGCTGACAGGATGGGGATTGCAGGCTGATGCAGGTTTAGGATGCTGGCACGATGGTTGTGCCGCGACATGACTGCGAGCCCGCCAAACTCTGTGACTGGCACCCTCACTTAATTAAAGCACAAGATATTGTCCAACCTGTCTTTCCGGTCGCTGCCGCATGCTGGGTGCAAGACCACCGCGAGGCAGCCTTGACACTCCCATACGTGTTCATTTGGCCCCTGTGCAGCCCCCTGGTTGCTAGCATGTACGGCTAAGCAACCCTAGCTACTCTGTGTCAAGGGTCTGACGGAGCGCTGGTCAGATGCTTAGTTAAGGATCAGTGACTGCTTCATATGTGCTTGGCGGTATCTTAGTGAAAAACGTTGCCTAACAGCAAACCGCGGCTGCAAAGCAAGTCACCAAGAGCTGCCACGTGCAACGGATTGCAACCGAAGCCACCACCTGGCAGAAACGCGCAAGTATGGAGCAATATACCTAGCTAGCTAGCCACAAATAAGCAAAGCCACTGCACTGTAGCCAAGCAGGACGCGAAAGTTGCTCTTCCACAGCTTCCCTAGGCAAACGCACGCCGCGTCGTTACGAATGTTTTCTTGTACCAGCAGTCTTTTACTTCTCTGGGCATGGCTATACTGTAGCCCGGCAGGCCACTATTCCCATTTAATTGGGGCGCAAAATCTCAGACGCCGTCTGTGTATCTCATCTTGTTGGAAAGTGACCGACACATATACCGGGAAATGGTGAAAGCAGTAATAGGACCCCGGAGGTCCGGCGCTTTGCTGTGTTTGACACGTCTATTCCCTTTAATCTATTTGGCAAGGCAGGGGCACGCATGCATACATAGTTACCCTATCCGAGAACCTATCAAAGTCAGCGTTTGTGGACAGGGTGGCGGCGAAGATTTGTGATGCCACTTACAAATCCCAAGAGTGCGGGATGCAGTGACTCTAACAGCAATTCCATTTCCATGTCAAATACCGCTATTATAATGTCAGTCGTGGGCAGGCTTACGGCATTGTAAGCAGCTGGCTACTTGACAAATAGCAAGTTGTCTGCGACTTCCGAGGTATCCGGCATGGTGAGATTTGTTGCACACCTTTTGTTTGCACTACGTTCACGTGGGAGATTAATGCCATACGTCAAGCTTAGAAGTCTCTGCAGAGATCACCGTCCGACCCGTCCTTCGGTTCATAGGGGCTGACATTGCAGATGTAAGATGTTTTTTCATTCGATAAACGTTCAACTATTTGGAACTCATCTCAGATCCCATATCTCAAAACCGGATTTCGCGCGCGGGCGTGAGACGAATTCATTAAGCCTCCCCGCGCCTTCTTACAATATCGCCTGGGGACACCAACTCTCCCGGCCCGCGTCAGCCATGCGACTGAGGACCAGACCCAAGCAGCCGCAGCTGCTGCTCCAACCACACTCGGGGCTTACGCAGCTCCCACGCCGGCAGGAACTCCGAAAACACAGCCAACGCCTTCACCAACAGCACATCGGGCCCGGAAGCCAGTCGCCGCAGCAGGCGTGGAAGTTGGCTTAGTGCACAGCATGAGCTGCGCCACCATGACCCGCAGTTCACTTGTCAACAGCAGTCAAGACGTCGACGTGCACTGCAGCGAATGGTAGCGTCTACTCGGAGTCCACCTTGTGGTGCGGGATGTGGTGCAGGCGAGCAGGGTAGTCAAAGATGTGGTCAGGCTCACGCTCAGCCAGTGGGCCCTTGTGGTTGATCAGCTTGACGTGCGAGCCATCGTTAATCAGGCGGCCCTCCTCACGGTACAGCTTGTAGTCCTTGCGGGTCAGGGTGGTGAAGCCCCTGCAAGCACACACACAAGGCAGCGAGATGGAACACGAGGGCCAATGTCCGTCAACGTTGTGCGTGTACTGTGCACAAACCCCTGCATGCAAACCTCTGGTGACGGTAGGTGGGCACCAGGCAGAGCTGCGAACCCCGGGAAAGGTCACCCCATTCTAACCCGCAGTGTCATTGCGCTGACTGCCTCGTCAGTCCGGGGGGATATGCAGCAGTCCTGGCTTTTCATCAAACAAGTTTGTCAACATCGCTCATTCATGAGGCGCATCACCAATTGCCATGGCAAACAATCCAAGCAGCTCTGGCTTCTGGGCAATAACTACCGTGAAGTTGCCTTTTGCAACTAACGAGTAAGCACATCTTAAGCATGTTCAGCCTCAATGCACCCAAATTGCCAGACCAAGGCTGTGGAAATTATCCCCCACATGTCTCACGTAAAAAAAACAGATCAGCGAGATCTGGAAAGCGGGCCCTCAATTCCAGACGCACAGCGGCGGCCCCACCCCAGAAATCCTGACCCAAGTGAGCTCCACAACAGATTCCAGCATATCTAATAATAACTGCCCAGTACTCCCAATCGAACCCAATCGCACGTGAGCCTAACCCATGCTTCAGTTCCAAGCCCCCAAGCAACCGTTTTACTGCTCGTACTCGCCCGCGTTTTCGGGCGTCTGCATTTGCCGACCAGTGTTCACGCACCCAAGACCGTAAAAACAGTCCACCAACACCCGTGAAACTCACCAGTTGTTGGACCTGATGATCTTCTGGCGGCCAGGGAACTTGAACTTGGCGCGGCGCAGCGCCTCCTCGGCCACAGCGCCATGCTGGTCACGGCAGCGGATGCTCATGAGCACCTGGCCGATCTGCACACGCGCGCAAGTGCCCGTGGGCTTGCCGAAGGCGCCACGCATACCGGTCTGGAGCCTATCGGCTCCAGCGCACGAAAGCATCTTGTTAATGCGCAGCACGTGGAAGGGGTGCACGCGCACACGCAGGTGGAAGGCTTCCTTGCCGGCATTCTTGACCATGTACTTGTTGGCAGCCACACGAGCAGCCTCCAGTGCCTCGCTGGACACGTTCTCCTTCTCCCAACTGTTGAAGCACAATTATTTGCATCCACACAAAGCGGCAAAAGACCCAGGGGCGTTGGTCATCGGGACAGCGACTTTAAAACATCGACTGACGAGCCCCGTTGCCATTGGGGCTCAATGTTATGATGTCATACCTTGCTGTACAGAAGTCTTACCTCGGCTTGGCTGCCTAGACTGTGTCCAAATTGTTTAAACTTGGATACAATGCCATAGGAGGGTAGTGTGTCCGTATGTATGCGTAGAAGTATGTGACAGACTCCAAACCTGGAGAATGGTGCCCCCGGTGTGCCCTTGCCGTCTTCGGGAACCACCTTGACCTCAGGAGAACTAATTCCTACACCCGCCCTTGATTTGCTAAATATGCTAGATCCAAACGCCACACAGGCCAATGGCGTGCTCTGAGCAATCGCCGTTGGCCTGTGTGGTCTGGGCAATCGCTCCCCTCCATACCAGACCTAAAGACCTAAAGGAGCCCAATTTGCTGCATCCCCCAATAAAATACCCCGCCGATGCCTCGCAACGCACCTGGCCAGGTGGACGCAGCACGGGAAAGTGTCCACATCCGCCCTCTTCATGCCCGCATCGTAGATGCGGATCTTGGGGTCGGGCACACCACGGCAGAAGCGGGACTTAGGGTATGGCTTACCCTTAGACTGCCTGTAGCAGCGGGCGGGGCGGCGACCCATTTTTGCCTGCAAAGCAGGCGAGGGTTCACATATGGGGGAGGAGGGTGATCCTTTAACGGGCGCTGAACGTCACTGCATGGATTGAGCTGATAACGGCAGTATCACATGGTCATCATCTTCTCTGCGTGCCGTCTCTTGCATAAAGTGGTCGAAGCTGGGGGCCAAGTAGCTGCGCTGTGCTTCAAAGCGCTGCTAAGAACTGTAGTATGTGCAACTGCCAAAAAACATTAGGAATGAGCGCAAACGCGTCCGTTACAAAAGGAAAGAAAGATGCATCGCCGCCATTTCGGCCGCCGTAGAAGCTGCAAATCCTGACTGCAATATCAAAGACTTCCAAACGCTTTAACTGCATAGCTGCAAGTCCGTCGAAGCCGCTCGGCACTGTATTGCGTGCAAAGCTATCTGAGCGGCAGCAATGGTCTGCAGCGCGCTCCTCCAATCTTACCAGGAAAAATTTGCCCTTACAGACAAGTGAAATTTATATGCGGTAAGGGTATGATGTTGGCAAGCTGCTAATTGCAGAACAGTTCCTTGCCCCACACAACAAATCTGAACGCTAAACTGACTCCTCGGGCACTAGCTCACCTGTTTCGACGAAAGAAAGGCCCGAGAAGAGAACGAATTGCTGCACTGGCAAGCCTCAAAGCGATGGCACAACGTTGCTCGTCGCCCTGGAGCGATGCCGTACGCGTTCCCCTCTTTCTGTGTTATTCTGCAATTACCGTGGTTAAGGGCTTGGCTTGTTGTTCATGTAGCTAGTCAAAAATGAAGGTTCGTGGCAAGGTTCGGTAAGTTTTACCTACCATGTTGGCCTCGGAACTGGGTTGCGACGATTAGGCTTAGTGGATGACATTTACCCGAGTAGCACGCATGTGTTCCATGTCTAACCTTGGAGGATTGTGTATCAATATGCGCGGACAGGTTGATGTGCGAGTTCTGCAAGAAGGTTGTGGTTCGTCTCAGTAGAAAACAGCATTACGTGTACATCTACTGCACAAAAAACCCTCGGGTAGGTAGTGCTGAGAGCCGTGGGTGGGGGTCCCGTCTATGCATCAACCCAAGCCCACGACAGCTTGCGACACCCCGCAAGCGTTCCCCCTGGTCTACCAAAATGCAGTGGAAGAGTCGATGCACTTAATTGTAACGCATGCGCCCCGCACCTGCTCCATGCTTGTATTACCTAACTGCAGCACAAACAGCGGACAAAATTTCTTGCTATGTCTACGCAATCGGAGGCACATTGCTGCGACGGGCACCATGCGGGGTGGCATGCGGATACTCCAACTGGGTTACCTTGCCTTCCGGAGCCCAAGTACAGCCTTGTGCAGCAACACATGCTCGGCAGCGCAAGCCGGTGCGTGTGCGTATGCCTGGGGTGTTACTGCGGTTTTTTCCCACATGGGTCGGCTGGAAGAATGGGGAGCTGTGTTACTAGGGACATGGCAACAGTGAAACTGTGCATAAGAAGGCTTAGTATTCTGATGTATCAATTAAAAGACCACGTAAGGCTTAGAGCCGTTAATTCCGGGAGAGCGCTTTTGGAATTGGGCGTTCGGTCGGCATTTTGAGGGCCGGTTTTAGGGTCTTACAAGTGGTTGGTCAGCTCTTGGAGCTGGGTGCTGAAGGGCAGGGACCATTCCTAGTATTGAGCACATGCAGGAGGGGGGCTCCTGGGGGGCCTGCCCCACTATCAGGCATGGGAACAACGTATTGCGTGCAGGCCACAGAAGCAAGTTGAGCGCGGTTTGCAAGTTGTCGACACATATAAGCTGGTGCAGATAATAGCACCGCGTACACTTCACATGTGACCCTGTTCCGCTGCAGGAGTTTGTTAGGCAACCGCCATACATCGGTGCTTGGTGAGCTCTATTGGCGAGCGGCGCTAGCAGGACGCGACATGTGACGAGGGGAATGGATTGCAGTCGCATTCCGTCATGGAGAAAAGACTCGCCCCACTCATGGAGCAGCATTAACCCCGAGACGCCGCTGGTCAACCCTCATTCCAAAGATCTC